TTGTCGGATCCTCGTAGGACCATGATAGATGGTGTATTTGCGTCTACAGAAACATGGCTTTGCAAAACGGGTAGCACGGGGGGTGCTCAGAGAGAAAAAATTAGCTGGGCCTGCCTTCGTTATACAACGAAAGCGCTTTGTCGCCAGATTTTATCCACTTTCTTTGAAAAGGTGCGAGAAGGAGCTTAGTGTTACAAAATTAGCGAATTAGTGTGTGTGTATGTGTGTGTGTGTGTGTGTGTGTGTGTGTGTGTGTGTGTGTGTGTGTGTGTGTGTGTGTGTGTGTGTGTGTGTGTGTGTGTGTGTGTGTGTGTGTGTGTGTGTGTGTGTGTGTGTGTGTGTGTGTGTGTGTGTGTGTGTGTGTGTGTGTGTGTGTGTGTGTGTGTGTGTGTGTGTGTGTGTGTGTGTGTGGTGTGTGTGTGTGTGTGTGTGTGGTGTGTGTGTGTGTGTGTGTGTGTGTGTGTGTGTGTGTGTGTGTGTGTGTGTGTGTGTGTGTGTGTGTGTGTGTGTGTGTGTGTGTGTGTGTGTGTGTGTGTGTGTGTGTGTGTGTGTGTGTGTGTGTGTGTGTGTGTGTGTGTCCGATCCGATGTGTGTGATCCGACATCCAGATGCGTTTCTTTATTTGAGGTCTGATGGTGAGTTCTCCGAATACACGGTCTCCGAATACACGGCGCAATACAAATCGTAATAGATGAAAATTCGGTGGTTTGAGGGCAGTACGCAGCGCATAAAGCCCATCAGACCTCGTGACTCAGCAAAAAGCCATGACCTGCAGTCCATAGTGTGCAATAGGAAAGCCCCGGCTCTCACCCGCAACCTCACGATATATGTGGACAGATGCCTACATTGAGCATGCTTCCCTGGCCGCTACTTAAACCGCATGTCGTGCTCCGTCAAACCGTGATGGGTTCACTGCCGCCCGGAATGGCCACACTACTCACTGTGCTACTAGCTGGCAGAACGTCCTCTCGCGGGACTGGGAGTGTGCCGGTCAGCGTGACTGGCTGGCCGGGCGGCCGGGAGGAGCCGTGTCTTTACACCGTGCAGACTGCAGCCGCCGGCAGCAGCGCCGGCGCGGTATGCGGCTCGCCCGATTACCGTCAGCTGCTGCTAGCGGCCGGCTACGCGGGCTGGGCAGCTAATTCGCAGCCACCCGGCTTCGCATTTCCGCTACGTCCGGTGGCGTGTTCACCTAGCAGGGCGCGATGATTTACTCGCGCTGGTAGCGGCTGTAGAGCGTCGGCCGCCGGTCGGTTCATTACCGCGGCCAATCAAACCACATTGTGATGCAATGAAGCTTTTATGCCCGGTGAGTCGCGGTGGTAATTAATTGAGCGTCCGGCGCACGAGGCTGTAACCGGAACTGAACAGGCTGGCCGGCACAGTGACCAGGCACCGAACACGACCTGCGTACGGCGACAGGATGGGGCCGGCGGGCTAATCCACGCAGCCGGACCGGCGGCTCCTGGACGGCAGGCGAGGCCATCCAGTCTCCTTAGAGCCCCCAGAACCAGGCCAGCACCGGAGCCGCGCGCTGGTCAGCAGCCGGGGGCGAGCGGCGTGTCACTGTCGCGTACTGCAGTGCAGCCGAGCAGGATGAAGGGGGAAGTGAACTCTGCGTACGATGGCGACACAGCGCGAGATGAGCCCAGCGATTCGGACAAACAGCCGGAAAAGACAGATCATCGCCAGCAGCTTGCGGGGAAGCAGGGTCACCATTTCTGGTAAGCATCCATGATACCATCGTGAGTTTCCGATCGGTCATGTTCGCCGATAGGCTTCGTGGCTCTCGTGGCAATTACTGGCGCTTGCTGTTGTTTGCGATCTGGATGTAGGAAACAATAAAACCTAGCTTTTCCATACCTTTCTCCCAGGGGTGTCATGTTTTGAAATAATTGGGAGAGGAATGGCTCAGCGGATAGGGTTAACCTAAACTATCCCCAAAACGTGATTTTTTCCCGGATTTCGGCTACTCTAATTTGCGCCTTGGGGATGTTTATGTTGACCTAAAAAACATTTTCCTGCGGAGGAACCAACGCATGCATTTTGTTATTTCATCTGCGCACGCAATGTACTCGCGTGCAACGACAGGAACCTAGAGAGATGTGTGATGAGTGATGAGTCGTTACCAAATAAATCGGGGAGCGTGTGAGACGGTGCTGTCTGCCAACGGCCTCGTAGAAAGGACGATATACTGAGTAAAAGTGTGTGGCGGTTATTGGACATGCTCTTGTGCATGGAAGAAGCGTAGCACGCCTTATGGCGGCACCGGCAAGCTCATTTCAAGCGATTCCTGCGAAGCTTGGAATCCAACTCAGTGCTTTAATATTTGTGGCCCTGTGCAAGGATTCAAGACGACTTAAAACGTCCCGGCTTAAATTTAGAAAGTCCCATAAGATAAGTTACTAATTTAATAACTAAAAGCGATAACTTTTGTCTGAAGCTGCTTCACCCCTGTCAATGACCTGACCTGCAATGACGTTTACAACTGCTGGCAAATTAAGAAAAACAACAAATATATTCAAGGAAATTGTGGGACGTAGTTAAGGATGTGGCCAAGCGAAACATAGTCCCCGAGCCAGAAGGTTTACACCAGATACTGGCGATTTGGCAGGCACTGGGTCCAAGTTCGCAGGATTTTGGAGACAATTTGACATTTGCCTCCCCCCGCAAAAAATGTTTTGGCTGCGCGCCGGAACCAATGATTATAAATTGTCATAGACACTCGGTTGCTTTGTTTTCACGTTGGGCTAGACAATTCTGAAAGTGAATGTTCAACATTTGAAGATATCGAATCAGGTATCATGCATCACGAAATAAGAAGACATATTATTTTTTGAATAAATTTGATCCGAACTATTTGAATGCATTTGAATGCATGGATTTTTGGCATCATCGCCCACGCTAAGCAGTACTTGTGTGAGCCGTGACCCTCTCCATCCGATCGCGCAATTCCAGGCGACGGCAGAATTTAGTGGCGAGAGCTTAACGTGCCGTACTGCTCGGCAAGGTCCGTCCTGCCCTCTGACGTCAACTGACCTTTACCACGACCGCTGGCACCGGCCGCAGACCATATCTGTCAAGGGCAAATAGCAAACGCTCTAACGCGGCTCGAACGCAGCTTACCACGGATGGGTGGATCGGAAGGCATGCGCTCTAACCAACTGAGCCACCGTGACGGACGTTTAGAATGACTGACATAACTATTGGTATCTCTTCAGTAAAACAGACAGCCCTCGACAACACACTCTGTAAATTATATGGCCCCCAACACCTCATCGTTTGAATACGTCATCGTACATTGCACAACATTGATTGAGAGCCAACGAACGGTCGTTTTATCTCAAATCGTGTTTACGAACGACAGACATGAACGAATCGACAATTATAACATACACAAACACACATGCACACACACACACGCACTCACACACGCAAAGATACACACACGCACACACACACACACACACACACGCACACACACACACGCGCGCACGCATGGACGCACGCATGGTTTCACACAACGCTAGCGGGCCAGCACTTGCAGCGATTTCCAAAGCTATGGCATCCAGTTTGAAAAATTTGGCATGTAAAAAAGTGGTAAAAAGTGAAAAAGTTTGAGAAAAATTACTTTGTACACTTATAAATAAACTCTGAGTAGCGCACAAACAATCTGCCTGGAATAAACATCGTAAATTGGCTACATGGTCCTTGTTCAAATCACTCTTTGACGGCGTATTGCGAACTACATCTAGCCGGCCCGTGGCGTGATGGCCACACACGGCTTGCCATTACGAGAACTGATAATCGTGCGAAGAGTGGGACTGTGTGCATCCGTTAGGTTTGTCACACGGATATCAGCTGACATTGCAACGCACTTCCTGTTCGTGGCATCCATTGTATTAGGTCGGCCCTCCTCTCCCCCTCCTATGTGTGTGTGCTCTCCTCTATTGTTCTTCAGTTCGAGTCGGCTGTCTAGAATCCGAGATAAGGCAGTGCTCTTATAAAAGGATGCCAGTCATCTTCCACCTAGTTCTACCCTGTTTGAGCGAAGGACGTACCATTATAACCGACGCAAATCGCGCTGGTTGTTTTAAAAGTGTCTCCCACGCTGTTGACCTTTCTACAGAGTTTGTCATTTTGTTGCACCTAAATTGTGGGATCCAGACTCCAGCGTTGTCAGGCCACTGACCGTTATCAAAGCTCTCCTATCAAAGAAAACGCTGTCAAAGCCCCGTCATTAAAGCTCTTTTAGGGAGATTGTTTTGCAATGTCGGCGTTCTACGACTCATTCTTGGCTGTGCGTATACCATACTATCTTGTCCAGATATTCTGAAAAGATTACGGATGTCTCATGATCACCTTTGCCAATGGTCGTGAACATTCAGAAGTCTTTGAAATTCAACTTGACGAGGCAATCTTGGAAATTGGATGAAACTGCTCTCAAGCCCGAAATGCTTTGAACTAAAATGATAACTGCGACAATGACACTGTAAAGTCAATGATCGGGTGGCCAAAGCCGCTGCGATGGAGGCTTCAAAACTGTTCAAAATATCGCTAGCGGACGTTTCAGTGTATTGGTATCACTTGTATGTGTGAGGGTCGTACATGCAAGGTCACACAAGGTCGAGTCATGAGAAGACATGAAATGACCTAAGATGACCTCAGATGACCCGTTGAAAGTGAATGCCGGCGTGTTGATGCAGCGTGCGTGCTTTGTCCTACAGATGTAAACAAAGCTACGTAAACACGGTAAAGTGTACACACAGACACGCATCACGCGGGGCGTGGTTTCGGCTGGTTGATCGTACCCTTCCATCGCCATGCTACGAATTGCGGCTGTGCCGACGGAGCCGGAGAGCTGAGGACAGCGTGTCTGCTTTCCATGTATGTAACTGAAAAGTTTACGTTTCCTTACTATGCCGCGCTAGTGACTGAATGCCTCAGGTTCTTTGGGCTTTTACAGGAAAAAGGAGCGATATACAAGACGACCATGGAAGCAAAGATATGGCAACTCACTGCGGCAGATGATACCCGTCCGGCCGGCCAGCAAGTTAGTACAACTCTCGCTCACGCTCGCGCTCTCCCATACTCCCAGGGGTGAAAGGTGTATGTTCTGTCACCGGCAAAATTCGGAACCGTCTAAATCGTCGCCTGGTGTCCAGTTATTACGAAACCGTTGTACTATATCTCTAAATGCGATCAATCATAAAAACAAAGACAACTTAACTGAAATGGGGCATAACCATCAAACATTTCGTTGCGGAAGTTCATTTGCACTAAAGTGTCATTTGCTGGCCATCAAACACCGAATGCTGGTTGAAAATAAAGGAATATAATTATCAGACAGAGGTATGCTTGGTATAACCAGCCTAAAGGTGTGTTATCTCCTATTGAAATGAGGGGGTGGGAGGCGGGTTTGTGCCTACCAACCGGGCATGCAATTTCTTATGTTTTGTTCTCATTTTTATCCATTATCTTTTATCCGTCATAATTTTGTGGTTCAGCCTCCAAACAAATTCTGAGAAACTACACCCCTGCCTCCAACTGTGAAAGAAAGTGCGTCAAATCTGAGAAGAACTGGTTCTAAAAGTATATCGGAGACAGGCTCACCCATTTTTTTTTCTTCCTGCACAAACGCCCCCTCCCCCTCCCCTTCCCTGCCTCACCCCCACGTATTTTGCAGACATGCATCCCTGCACATGCATCCTTACATGCATCCCTACATTTGCCGATAACATGGTTCTACAAGCACCGAAAACAATATCACTTGGTTTTGTCACGTCATCGTGCAATCAGGCGGAAGCGTTGGCGATCTGCAGCATTTTCGCACGATCATTGCCGGTGGAGAGCTAACGCTTCTTTACATGATCTCAATTATTTAGAGCAAAAGCCATTCAACATGGGCATCAATGACAAGCAAATGCACATGGCATTTGTAAACACCTCTAGCACCTTCGTTTAGCTTTATATGAAATATAGTGTCAGCTAAAAGTGTTTAATCTCACGCCACTCCACTGATCAGTGCACTGAGCCTGAGGTGCAACAGGCAATGTGAGATACCTATACTAGCAATGCTCGGCCTCTCACCTCAAAGACGCTGTTTCTCTCAGCAGCAGGAAGCGCTGTATGAATCCCTGACATGTGTCGCTGAAGGGACCTCCGCTCACATCTGAAGCTACCGGTAAGGTATACACAAACAGCAATCCTCCTAGATCGGCAAGGCTTTTAACGCCATTACCTTAGAAAACTGACAATTAGCTACGTTCGTCTAGCCAGTCATCTTCTCACGACAAAAACACAAGTAACAGCTACCCACATCCTTGCGCTGAACCCAACGCATGACCACGAGGAAGGCAATCAAGCCCATCTGCCTCAAATGGCATGACGCTTTAAAACGCTGCGCGTATCAAGCTGATCACGTTCGTCGCATGATGCTGTGGCCAGTCACAATTTTTACGAGTAGTGATAACCTAGTTATTCGGTATTTTGCGCTGGTAAGTATGTAATGAGAACCTCCGTTGAGAAAATCTGTGAACAGCACTGATGTGAGAGGCACTGGAAAAGCACTGTGCTATCACTGATATGTGATGGCAGCCCTGGTATAGTATAGTTTGTAGTATGTCTCTGTCTGCTCCTAAAACCTATCCTGATGAAAGCTATTATGTCTGGCAGCATCTTATGGCTCAACTTGCTCACACAGCAAAACGGCAGCGTTTAGACATGTGGTCTGCGCATGCTCTCGCTGCAGCCTTAGCGAGTACAGATAAATACTGAGCTTTGAGTTTTGTCGAGCTCGGATGATCTGCTGTAACATGGTCTGGTGTGTTGAAATTTGTTTTCATTTTTGCAATTTTGTCACCAACTTGTTTGTAAAGGTGCCAATTTTGGTCACAGATAGTATGTGGTAAATCGGAAGCCTTTTTCATCCCTGCAGACTCCGTTCTCTTTCCTCTTCCTCTCTTTCCCTCTCGCTTTCTCCCTCTCTCGCTACCTGTCGATTAAAGCTGTGCCTGTCACTGTCTCCACCCCTGTCCTTGCATTTGTCTGTACCCATGTCCGGATCCCCGTGGTTGTCACTGTTTTTTTTTCAGCCACTCTTTGTCTCTTTTCGTGTGTCTCTATGGCTCTATGTCTCTGTCTTTATGTCTTTATGCCTCTATGTCTATGTATCTCTTTCTCTCAATGTACCCTTTTCCTTTCCTATCTTTCTCTTGACTCTTGACTTCGGTGGCATCAGTCACCACTGTCGCTCTTGTCGTGCGGAGGCGTGCTGTGCGTTGTGCGACGCCGCGTGACTGACCGGTGCTGCGGCGGTGCGCCAGGGAGCCGAAGCACGTGATGCCGGGACCGTCGCGCGGCTGTCTCTCCCTGTTCTCTCTGCACTGGATGACGGGTTTGATGTGGAAGGCCTACACCGGCGCAATGACAACCAACGACATCTGGCACCTGCGGGTGAGCTGCATCATCATACTTGCCATATATCACTCCCTCAATATATATATATATATATATATATATATATATATATATATATATATATATTCATGCACACATGTATATGTATACATATATATTTATATGTACATAGATATGTATACATATATACACACACACATACACATACACACATATATATCGTATATAAATATATATATAGCTCCCGCTCTCTCGCTCTCCCACCAGCTGCTCTCACTACGGCTCATTGCATCAAATTTTGCGGAGAGTGGACATGCTACGACAACTGAGCACGGTCAATGGTTTTGCCTGATTGCAACGACTTCGGAGTCATTATTTTGTGCAACAATTTCTGACGCAAAGTGATCGCTTTGGAGCAAGCGTCACGATCTAAAATTGGTACCGTGATTCTCCATGCTTGGTGGCTGCAAAGGATCTTCAAACGCCCACTGCATAGGCGTTAATAAGTAATATGGGGCATTTATCCCAAGGTCCTTTTCAAGAGCTAGGTGGTGTTTAAAGAACACCAAATAACTGCTCGGACTTCAAATTTTTGCAACGCAATAATTTTTGTCTTGAAATAACTACAGCAAGCTTTTTATTGTCTTTACCAATCACTCAGTTGTTAGAGCTCTTGCATTCCATTTCACCCACCCGTGGTGGGGCTCCATAGCTGGGATGGCTTGCGGCCGGCGACAGCGGCCGCGCCAAATGTCCAATGTCATCAGAGTGGTGTGCTGAGCTTGTGCTGCAAAACCCTGCCGTTGGATTTTACGATCAGATGGTGAGGTGAGGGCTCACGCAACAAGAGCTGCGTAGCGTGGGCGCTTATCCCAGCAATCCATCTAATGAAATGGCTCGGACGAAAATCTCAAAGTATGAAGGTCGTCTGACATGTCCGAACACATGGCCGACTTGCCATGAATTATTCTGGCCACTCGATGCTGGTCCCGTCCGGTGGACGCGGCAGCCACCAACCATGTTTCTGTAGCGGCCTGTTGCGCCACTGCAACTGCTGTGAACTGTCGCCACGTCTGCCGCTGCGCCAGCCAGACGACGCCAGCCACCACAACTGCGAACGGCTCGAGCGCCACTGGGAGGCGGAGCTGACACAGCTCGGCGCCACGGACGCTTCGCTGTCGCGCGCTCTGCTGCGTACCTTCCGCATGCGCATCATCGTCGCCTCGGTCGCCATGGTGGTGGCCCTCGTCCTGCAGATCATCGGGCCGGTCAGTGGGCCACCGGGCAGGGCACGTGTTGCCGCTGGCTCGGGACGCTTACCTGACAGTGTGATATGACTGTTGGTGCGTTCGTTGGCTGAGAATGCAACTGTTGCCTGGCTGTATTCCGCTTTGCAAACGGATAATGTTCATATCAGTATTTCACGTATACCTGGCATAACCAGATTCAAAGCTAAGTCAATAATCTAGCTATGATTCTCCATGACTATGGTTTTCCTAGCTTTCCAAGACTGGAAGGACGAAGCGTGTATTCACATGGCTGGGTGGCCTTCTGCGAGCTGCCGCCACGCCCCGGGCTCTGACGGTGATTCCTCGTCTTGACTGCATCCACACAAGCCCTTCTTAGATTTCCGGCGATACTTACCATTGTTCAGATGGGACTTGAACCCAATGCCATGATTTCGTTTCAGTCGATTTTGCTTAAGGCAATGATGAACTACGTCAACGATCCGTCAGCACCGTACATACAGGGCGTCTACATCATGCTTTTGATCCTGGCCTGCCGGGTCGGGCCGCTCCCTACTGCTTCTACGGCGTCAGCTTTATCACGTCCACCTTCAGCAGTGCGTACCTCACTGTCGGGCCGTCCCTATCTGGGCGCCATCGCGATCCTACCAAGGCTTGTCGCTCCTCCCCGTCATGCCAACGTCAGATGACATGTGTTTTTGCTCTGGATTTTCAGACTGCAACGCAGCGCGTCTTATGTTCTTTAGGTCTGGGAACATGACCATCAAGGCCATGGTGTCATTGGAACTACCAACGCTGTGGCACAATTCGAGCGCAGTAACACAGGTCTCACAAAATACCGCCTCGGAATTCCATGATATGCTTCAAGTGCTTTTCCTATACACAGCTAGAACTTTTTTACTTTACCAATCTTCCTGACAGACCAACTGTTGACAACTCCCCGGAACAAGCGTCACATGCTTGTCTCCGCGATACATCTCCCGGATTTCGCAGTTCGAAAATAATTTGGCATTCGTTACGTCCTCGTTACTGGACATGTTCGGAACACCGTGTCGAATACAATCTGCCAAATCGATCACGAGTTACAGCCAGACCACTCAAATTCAAATTCAAATTGAAGCTGTGTCACTTCCAAGAACGGTAGTCTGCTGAAGAAGTTTGTGTAGACTTGCAGGTGAGGTTGAACGAATGACTACGAGCGGTCAGAGCCCCAGCCGTGCCGAGGCCAGCTGAAATTCGGCCCCTGACTGACGTCATACGTTTGAGAGCAGCCAAATGACGGAGCGAGAGGTGCCGACCTCACCTTGGCTCCCCCGACCGCAACGTTCCGAGCGTCTGGTGCACTCCAACTGATGATCTACAGAAAGGTGCTGCGTCTGCACGTCACCTCCGACCAGGTGCTGGGCAAGATCGTCAACATCTGTATCAACGACATGGGGCGCCTGTTCGAGCCCTTCACCACTGGCCCGATGGTGTTCTGTACGTGCGGGGCACCACCCAGCCTTATCTCCCGCCCTCCTTCACCCCCGGTCCGATGGTGTTCTGTACGTGCAGGACACCACCTAGCCTTATCCCCCGCCCTCCTTCACCACCGGCCTCATGGTGTTCTGTACGTGAGGGGTAGCCCCCAGCCTCATACCCCAATCTTCCTCACCACCAGCCCGATGGTGTTCTGTACGTGCGAGGCACCACCCAGCCCCATTCCGCGATCTCCTTCACCACCTGCGCAATGGTGTTCTGTAGTGCGGGACGCTACCTAGCTCCATCCCCTACCCTCCTTCAACAGCTGGCCAGCTGGTATTCTGTGCGCGCGGGGTATCTCCCAGCCCTATCCCCCACCCCCTTCATCACCAACCCGCTGGCGCTCTGTTGAGCAGGATACCATCCAGCCCCATCCCCCGCGCTCCTGCACACTCGGCACCGATCCAACGTCGGCGTACCCACGTGTACCTTGCATCTGCCTGTAGTTGGAGAGAGACCGGAGGCTCTGATTTCATGCGGTCCGTTGGGACCGTAATAATTATATGTTGTGCCCGTATTCGTTCTTTGTCATTATTCCCTGGTCATCATAGCGGTGAATGCACAGAAGTCACCACCATCTGTCGCATGGCAACGGCCAGGGCCTTTAACGCGGTCAGACCCACACGGTCATGCTTAAGGATATGTTTACCCATAAAATAAACGGCGCAACTACAAAAGACAAGTGCCAGGCCTCACTCGGTTTGGCGATGCTTGCACAGTCTCCAATGCGTGGAAGACAATTTGTTTGAATACATTCTGTGGAGAGAATGTATGAGAACGATTGACATTGTACTGTTTGATTCCCAGCCTTGCTCGTTATGCTCCTGTTTGCCATGATCTTCAACATCGTGGTTATTGGACCCTGGTCATTACTGGGATTCATCATGATCCTGCTATACTGCCCCATTCTTGTGAGTTTGTATTTTTGGACTTCAAAACGCTGCACATGGCTTTATTGGACATGAGTGATCATAATGATAGATATGCCAATACCGCATGACTCTATGCTTACCTGTTACTAATTGAATAGGATGGTAATTGCTTACACGGATATGTATACATACGTGTGTGTGAATTTATGTATATATTTATATATACAAATGGCGAATCTGGGGCTGAGACAACTCTTGATATCATGACCACTCTCCTACTGGCGCTAATGCGACATCGAACTATAAAGTTTTCCGTGTGAATTTGGTATGACGTCGCAAGAACCCACCAGACGTGTTTGTGTCTAAACACTTCATCCGTTTTTGCGCGCCCTGCTACTGCGGATTGTTGCAACATGGCCGCCGAACACATATTCCGGTCATTATTTGTTTGTTGCAATCTTTATGGAGCTTACATGCTCTGAGGAAATTGCAACTTCTGGATAGTTCGACATTATGTTCCTTTAAGCAGCACACCAGTTGCCTCTCATGCCGCGGTGTAACGGGCTGATGAACTGAACTGTTTTCTTGACGCCGACTTTGGAGAGTGCTCTGGCTGCCGTGACCAGCTCATTGAGGATGAAGCTGGTTGTGGACACGGACCGCCGTGTCACCCTGACGTCGGAGATCATCGGCGCCAACCACCTCATCAAGATGTACGCCTGGGAGGACAGCTTCCGAGACAGGGTACGGCATCGTAACAACCTGTCCTGATGTCTGGTATGGAGCATCTCTGAGCGTACTAGGTGCCACAGCGCCGCAATCTGGCCTGATGTCCGCCAGATCGCTCACAAATCGGAGAGCGCGTACCAGGCCACCACTCGTTGGTGGGAGCGTGCTGGGTGTTATGACGTGCAACCACTTGATGATCTGTGTGGTCCTGATGTTATAAAGCGATCCAAGTATATTTCAAGCCATTCCTTAAGCTGAATGGAGTATGCTATCGCTCAAAGTCTTATACGAGCCAGAAACTAAGCTGTATCTCCGGCGTGCGAGGCTCCAAAATTTGCCCGTTATTAAAATATCACTATAAGCTGTGATTACCCGCATAAAGCCTGCTGCTCATCGATTAATCATCGAATCAGTTGTATACCAGGCATGTAGCCGTGCCACCGGGCTCCCGTTGGGCTCAACGATGTACCTTAACTGAATGCCCTTTCTTCAACTTCTTGGCGTAATTTTAACACATGCATTTGGATACCAGTTAGGTTTTCCAGATTTTACTTTGCGCACTTGCGAACCGGCAAAAGGTGTATTATAAACTGCATGACTCTAACCCAACTGTGACCCGGCCGGTACTGCCAGTGTAAGGATATATAAATGCCCTGCCCGTCGCCCG